TGTGTATATATATATATATATATATATATATATATATATATATGAGAAAAGATGGGATTATCCTACTAACTCATATGAACATATGAGCCCAATGGCCCAGATTGAATCTGGGCCGATCTGACGATCACTGATGTCCGGTAGTGCTTGAATTTTATTTTATTTTCTACAATCAAAATCACTTGAATTTTAGGTGTGTGCGCACCTAATAAAAATATAAAAATAATTATTTGCAAAAAAAAGACTAAAACTTTCAAGGGTATTTTGGCCAATTTATTTCATACAAAATATTTTTTTGATATTTTTTGAAGATTCACTTATTTTTTATGAAGATAAGTCTAAAATTTCAAGTGATTTAGATTTGTAAAAAAAGAAACTAAAATTCAAATACCATCAGACATCCGTGATCATAAGATCGGCCTAGAATCAATCTGGGACGTTGGGCTCATATGTTCATATAAGCTAGTGGGCTAATCAAATCTTTTCCTATATATATATATATATACACACACAACACGCACACACGCAATGATCTAATGCAACAGTTGTATCATAGCTTAATACAACGACACTTCTAGAAAACCATGTTTGTGGTATTTGTATGATCCCAAATTTTACACACACTCTCTTCATCTCAATAATCAATACCAAAAACAAAAATTTCAATTTGAACCCTAGATATGATTGAGTCCTTTCCAAGACGAATCTAGATCTTTCATTTTGTGAATTTCAAGATCTTAGCCATTATAAACTCAAAGTCATTTTTTTCTTTTTTAACATTGTTCATCTAATGATAATGAAGCCATTCAAAAAAATTGGAAATGAAAAAATCCTTCTAAGGAATAAATCTATGCATCTCACAAAATGAACGGCCTATGTTAATTGAGCTAAAAAAATATTTTTTAAGTTGTGTTTTCAATTTTTCGTTTTTTTGTTCATTAGAATGAAAAGAATGTATATTTCAAATTTTGGATCAAACAAATGGCCATAAGATGGTTTTTTAAGGTTGTTACATCATATTACTATATATATAGTAATGATCTTATGAGACCCTCCCACATCTATGTGTGTAGGACCCCAAAAGATCACCATACACACATGGGTATGGGAGGGTCTCACAAGGTCATTTCCCATATATACAACTAAAGCTATTTGAATGGTCAAGAAAACATTAAGGCCCGTTTGGATATTAAAGAAAAAAATATTCCCATTTAAAAAACCATCTTATGAGATTGGCTCACTTTTATTGATATTCCAAGAGATATTGACTAATTCTAGGAGAAGTATCGCCCCAAGATACCGCGTTTCTAGGAAACCAAACAGCACCTAAAGAGATTGGCTCACTTTTGTTTTATTGTTTTTTTTAGTAAGAAAGAGATTGGCGGACTTCTCTGCGGAAAAGAAACAAGAAAGAAAGAGACAAATGAGCAGGCATTGTCCCAAAAACAACCAACTTGAGCAATAAGTGATTTGGAAACCACTACCACCATGACTTAATCATCTTTGTACTTGTTAAACTCACCCAAATGTTTTTTTATTAGAATTATTATTTTTAATTTTTAAATTTATTTACTTTTTCATATTCATAATCTACATGATAGATTTTACATATCTTTAAAAATTAAATATTACAATCCAATCTCAAAAATAAATTTATTAAGAGGCCCGCATTTCTACATATGTAGATTTGGCAGGATAGAAACCGGGTCCCTTGTTTTAAGCACCACGCCAGGGCCAAGCCACTGTGCAGAATCCACATTAATGAGACGTACTATTTTTGGGTATGCTTCAACAATAAGTTCAAAGCCCTCCCTCTAAAGAGGGCAACTTATGCCGTCCAAACAAAAAGGGTGACAAAATGCATAGTTGAGGATTACATCATTTCGAAGAAGTTGTACCGGTCTTTTAATGATTTAGTGTAAAAGTAATTCCTTTCCCTAAGAACATTTATCTTTGGTAAAAGAAAGTTACAATTACTTACGACTATCCCATGTGAAATCTAATAGTTTGGTTTCTTTAGAAGTTTGAGGTTGATTGGTGGAATAAATGTAATCATTTCACATTTGACGATCAAAATTAATTATGATCACCTTGTACCACAGATAAATGGTCTTATTGTATATATTTTTTGAAAAAAATACATTCAAAGTACAAATTATTTTGAAAAATTATTCAAAGGTGTCAAACTATTCTGTTTAGGGTGTGTTTCATATAAATTGACAACCTTACTATGTAGAAATAAGGCTGTGATGCCCAACACAATTCAGTTTAATTGAAAGGTATATACCTTGCACGTTTTTTTACTACAATGTAAAAAGTAGCATGCTTTTTAATATAATATAATATCTAGGCTATCCAAATAAAATAGACAGTAGTACATATTCTTGCAACGTTCTCCAAGTATCGTTGCTACATTTTCCTTCTATTTAAAATTAGGAATGTTGTTTTCTAAATTTTATTTTAATGTACTTCTTAAAAATAAAAACCAAATTCTGTAGAAAAGGTCAAATCATTGTATTTGACAGTAGGAGTGCAGCTTTTAAGCTTCAGTACACTTAGTACTTCATAAAAATATATAGCAAATTAATCAATTGGGTTGGGAACCTAAGCAAGTAGGGGCATTTGGTAACTTAGCTCGAGTTTAGTAACCCGAGTAGGTACCTATAGTACCCTTGGTTGTTTAGTGAGCAACATAGAACAAGCGTTTACAACAAAGAGTGTTGTCAAGCCTGAACAATCAGGGACATTATGTTATTTGGTGGGTCCATGTTGCTAAATCTAAAAACCAAAAGATACTTTCATCCTTTAACGTGGGCTACTTGAGTATAATTAATTTATCAAAATTCTTATATTTGTGTAGGATTCTCAATCTTAAATTGAAACAATTTAGTTATTATTTAATAGTTGTTGTTCAAGTAAACCTTATAATTTTTAAGAGATAAGTGAGATAAACTTGAAATAATTTAAAAGTCAATTTAATCCTTTAATCAATATTTTTCTTTCATGAGATAAATGTATACCGGGTGCGGTTTATAAAAGGTTGCCTCCTTACACTATAGAAGTAAAATGCACCTCTAAAACTTGCTTACAAATGTTCTGGTGTTGAAAAACTTATGATGGCTTGAAAACTAATTTTTATCCCTTGGTATCATATTTAAAATGGCTTGAAAACTAATTTTTATCCTTTATTATCATATTTAAAATTTCAAAAATAGCAATAGAATGAACAAATCAATAAACAATTGAAAACCTTGAAAATAGATGTTCTATAAAACTTGTTATAAGATACACTATTTTTTAGACTTGAAATTCTTTTTTCTCTTCATGTTCATGCATCTTGAGGTTGAGATGATCAATAAGAGGGTTCTCCAATGTCAAAATACTTTCTTCGATAGGATTTTTGATGTGCACCTTATTTCAGTAGTATAAAGTTGCAACTTTATATAAACGTTTTCCATAACTTTTTCTATCTATAAAGAAAAGGATTGAGGTATGAAGTTGTAACTTTACATAAACGTTTTTCATAAATTTTTCTATAATATAAAAGAAAGGAGTATACTCTTTTGGCATTGTATACTATTTATTTTTGTTTTATATAAATGTTTTTCATAAATTTTTCTATAATATAAAAGAAAGGAATATACTCTTTTGGTATTGTATACTATTTATTTTTATTATAAGGTGGTCACAATTACTCCTAACCCTCGGATATATAATTGTGAGGTTTGGGGTATGTCACAAAGTTTAAAAAATTTCTTTTGAGCTTTAGGTAAAGTAAGGAACGCGCTCCCAACGACCTAATTTTGAAATCCGAACCGGTACTTTTCCAACTCTTTTTGGAAATGTCTCTTGCTCATGCACATGGGGTGGTAGATGTGGGTGGCTTTCACAGTGGCATATGTCGTTGGGGAATCCAAGAACTGCAACTGATTAGGTAACCTCAAATAATTAGGTAACTGAAAATACCACGAATGGAGAGAAAGAGAGAGAAGGGATTGGGCAATGAAGAACACATGTTTTTAGTACCTTTGTCAGTAAGGATTGGGTGGTTCAAAAGCCTCCCATTACGATGAGTCGAGTGTGAAATGAAATTTGAGTGAAGTCTTGTAACTAAGAGTAACAATAATGGAGACCAAACTCAAATCTGGTTTGAAGAGAATGTTATCTTTGTTTTTCAGTATCCGACAATAATATATGAGGTGTATCAATGAGACCACATTCCCCAATCAAATAATTCATATACCCCATGTCTCCAATAATATCTCACTACCAGGTTAAACTCATAAACTGGTTTTCTCTCTCATCTATTGCCAAGAAGCCTCTCTAACTCAGGTTGGGGGGAATGGAAGACCATGATGGGTTGCAGAAAGAGAGAAATGAAGCAAAAGCATTGAATGATGACAGTGGTTTGAACACAGCTCATAGAATTGATCATGGTAAGTTTATTTTTTAGTTTCTCTCTCTCTCTCTCTCTCTCTCTGTCTCTCTCTTTTTGCTTCTCAGTGTAGTGATGGACCATGTGAGATTATCATCAAATGAAATGGACTTTCATTCAAGGAAATGGGTTTTGTTTGTTGAGTTCTTTTTCTTTCTCTAGCATATTTTTTTGGGTTACATTCAAGCTATATTTAAATCAGTGTCCTGGGACTCGACCGAGTTCACTCAAAGCTATATTTAAATCAGTGTCCTGACTTGACCGAGTTCACTCGGACTTGGGTGAGTTATTTGGACTCACCCTATAGGCATGGGCAAGTCCAAGTATCCTCGAGTTGTGTGTACAACTCAGGGCTATAAAAAAATTTGCAAAACGGTCTAAAAAATTATTAAAAAATGTAGAAATGTTGTATAGCATTTCTTTATATGCTTTGATTTTTTTGGAAAAGATTGGTGAATGTTTTGTGCCGCAGTCCCTATTTTTATTTTTTCTATTTTTTTGAATTTTTTAAAGTGTCCCAAACTTTGTAAATCACTTTTTTCTTTAAAATCCATTCTCTCTACTGGCTAAATCTTATTTTAAATTTTTGAGATTTTTCTTTTTTATACTTCCTCTACCTTTTCTTTTATTTTTGCAAATTTTTTAGATTTTATTTTTATTTTTTAAGGGCCTTTTGGCCCCTTACAAGATTCGGGGTAACTCGGCTTGGCCAAGGGCAGTGTCCCTTACTGAGCCCAGTTACAAACCTCAATGCAATTGTCGCACCTTCATTGAAGCGAAGTTCCTTGACCTTGGGATTTCTATAGAGATATAGGTGAGCATTTTCATAGATTGGAGGATTCGAGTCTTATTTTAGTCTTCCAGCTCTAATTACATAAATGTACGACAAAAATTTGAATTCTGCTGTGTTTTCAGTTCTTTAAGAGTTTGCTTCCAAGTGTTGTTTTCATTATTAAATGAAATAATGATTAAGAATTTACTTAGGCCATCTAAACTCAAGATTTTCCTCTTTTTATTGACAGATCCATGGCTACAAGTGGGGCTTCTTCTGGTTACAGGCTACAATTGTGGATATATCGTGAGCTTTTCAAACCTCATTCTGAAGCCCTTAGGATGGACATGGGGGTTGATTGCTATGGTTTTTATAGCCATTTTATCTCTCTATGCAAACTGGCTCTTAGCAGGGTTTCACATAATTGATGGGCAGAGGTTCATAAGATACAGAGATTTGATGGGCTGTTTATTTGGTGAGCCACATTTTATGTGCTTCCTCACTTACAAACAATGCTTTTCTATAATAATCCGATGTATGATGATCTTCTTAACTACTTTACTCTGATGGTGTACAATTAACAGCCTTTGAAATCCCAATACTAAAGGAGGCATAAGAATTAACTTTTCATAACTCTATTGCAGGAAAGAAGATACATCATATGACATGGGCTCTCCAAGTTTTGAATCTTTTGTTTGCAAATATGGGTTTCATTCTTCTTGCTGGAAATTCACTAAAGGAAAGCTACATTTCTCCTTCATTTTCCCTTTATTCTCTCTGCGAAATATTTCCCCTTGTTAAGGGAAAAAAAGAACAGGAGCCATGAATTAGACCACATTTCATATGCTTCTGTATCATACAGAAATTCACAATTTCTTTTGGTTTTAATCTCTGAACAGGAGATCCATGCGGCGTTTACATCCTCACCATTACGACTTCAAGATTACATAATTATAAGTGGAGTGATCTGTTTCCTCTTCGCTTTCATTGTCCCCAATATGTCATCCATGGGAGCATGGTTCGCCCTCTCAGGCTTCTTCACCCTCATTTATGTAGTCACTATAATAGCAGTCTCTATAAAAGATGGTAAAACATCCAAACATACTCAGATAGAGCATAGTTTCTATGGGAAGATGTTTTCGCTCGTTTCCTCTGACAAATAGTAGTAATTTAATTGACTATACAGGAAAGTCTAACATAAAAAAAGACTATAGTGTTAGTAGATCAAATGTGGAGAAGGTTTTCAATGCATTCAATGCAATTTCAGCTATTCTTTTCACTAATACCTCAGGCATGCTTCCTGAGATCCAGGTTTGAATACCCGACTCCTCCCATACAGATCATTTTGTTTAGTTCCCTAAACCCTTGTATACTCAAGGGTAGACTTCAAAGTAACAAATATCATCATCTTCTAACAGTGCATTGTTTTGTAGTGTACTCTTCATAAACCAGCAGTGAAGAACATGAGGAAAGCATTGTATCTGCAATTCACCTTGGGCCTAGGAATATACTACGTTATAACAATCATAGGATATTGGGCTTATGGTTCACATGTCTCTGAGTATCTTCCTGATCAATTTAGTGGGCCTAAGTGGGCTTCAATCATTGCAAATTCAGCAATATTCTTTCAAACAATCATATCGCAGAATGTAAGCATTCCTTTTTCCCATGCAATCGCTATATGAGTAATTCATTGGGTATTGTCATTCATAAACAGCAATATATCCACATGTAGGATTTTTCTAGTCATGGGGTATGGATGATTGATGCTGTGATTAGAGGAAAGTGATACATTGTAAGGACTTAGGCACACAGACATCTGTTAAGATGAAATGTGTGTTATCGTTCTTTCAAATGCGGGCAAAAAATTAAAAATGATGTTTTGTGTAAAATTAGATATAGAAAATATAACTGCATTGTTGACTCTTCAAACTGATCTCTGTCATTTTCTTGGAATATAATCAGGTGTTCTGTTCACCAATTCATGAGGCACTTGATACTAGATTCTTAAGACTTGACCAGAGCTTGTATTCGCTCGACAATGTCAAGAGGCGTTTATTGCTGCGGGGTGGCCTGTTTCTCCTCAACACATTTATAGCTGCCATGTTTCCTTTCTTAGGAGATTTCGTGAACCTTGTTGGTTCTTTCTCACTCTTCCCTCTAACTTTTATCTTCCCAAGCATGATCTTTATAAAGGTAATGAAGCCATTAGCAACAGATCTGTTGATAGTTCATGAAATCACAATGCCAGATATTTAAATTTTTGCTAAGATTAACCTAAATGTCACAGGTTCAAGGGAGAAAAGCTAACAGTGCGGTGAAGGCATGGCACTGGCTAAACATCATCGGTTTTTCGTTTGTAACACTTGTAACAACCATTGCGGCCCTTCGGTTGATTGTACAGAACGCTAAGCTATACCATCTGTTTGCAGACACGTGAAGTGATTAAGGGCAAGTTTGGGTTCACCGAACAGGTGTATTATTAGTAACCTGGAAGGAATGAGGGAAAAAAGGTTTGCTTTCATGTGTGGTTTTGCAGGATTCAAAAATAGATGTAGACAATTAAGTTGCAGAGTTGTTTCCTTACTAGTGTATTATGAAATGAGAATCAGATGATTTTAGAGGCCAAACGAAACAGGACCTAAATAGCCTACAAGTGCAAAAGTGCTTCTATTGTGCTTTTCCCATTTCTTGCAACTCAGTGAGTCTTCTTGATGTTCAGTTCTGTAAGAGTTGCTTCCATTGCAAAAAGCAATAAAAAAAAATTCATGAATCATTATTTGTTTTATGAAGTTGAGAGGCCACTTTTTTTCAAATTCACTTATTGTTTAGATTTTCTAAAACTTGGGCATTGGTTTGACTCAATGCGATTGCGCTCACGCCAAGCAACTATGAAATCACAAACATGAAATCTTGAAGATTACCCTGTTAAGAACTTTCACCGCTGATGATCATCTTACTGCATTTCATTATCATGACCTCCTGCATATCAAGAGAAGAAACAAAAAGAAAACCTGAACAAAAGTGTTAGGATTTAAGAACCAGCTTAGATACGAAAACAGGAATCGCAAAGTAGGATACCACCAAGATCGTGTACTTATCGAGCTAGAAACAAAATAAGCGAGAATACGAGCCATAATACAAAAAATAAAACATAAATTACATACACCACAAGAGCACACAGATTTACTTGGTTCACCCCACAAGGGCTACATCTACGGGTACGACAAATATAAATCAACTATACCAATGAAAGTTACATCACAAATTTTGGGACATGGAGTTATCTCTTGACAAAACCCAATCAAGGAAACCTTTTTACACTTGACAGAACCCGCTCTCCCGATCGGCAGCATCGTCGGCCTCTCATCTTGATTCCACAGCTAAATCACTGCCTAGGAAGATACTATCTTTATTTCACAGCTAAACCATTGTCCAGGAGGAGAACCTTGAAAGCAACAAAAACTTTCTTTTACTAAAAAGGGAAGCCACCCAAAATTTTCATGGGAACCGCTTCTCTACAAGAAACCAGCCTCTCAATCTACAAGAGATACAACATGGAGTTTTTCTCCATAAGAAGCACTCTTCTCTTTAAGGGCAGACCTTGCCTCTCATGCACATGAGGCCCCTACCTTGTCTCTCTTGAGGAAACCACCTTCAAATTCTCTGCACTTTCATCCCGTATATATACAAGATTAGGAATCCACATCAAATAAAAAACTTCTTATAGCTATTACATATATCTCAAGAACCAAGAGATACATCCAAGAGTCCCAATCTTTTTGGATTTCTATTTCATTTAGGAAACCTATCAATATCAATTACAATCCCTCATAATATGGGATTTCCTTGCGGGTGATTTTGAATATCACCATATCCAATAATCTCCACGTTGATATCAAAATCACATGCTTACCATACCAACATCCAATGGATGCTTTATGAATTCATCATCTTTTGCCAAAGAAATTCCTTCATCATTCTTGCTGAAAAATTGTGTTTGCCATCATATTTCTCCACCTCAAATAAAACACTTGTATACTTTGCCATGTGCTTTTCTTCAATCGAATGCAGAAACACTAGATTTGTATTGAACTATATGCTCTAATACCACTTGTTAGGATTTAAGAACCATCTTAGATGCATAAATAGGAATCTCAAAGCTAGAAACAAAATAAGCGAGAGTCTAAGCCATAATACAAGAAATAAAGTATAAACCACATACACCACAAGAGCACAAAGATTTACGTGGTTCACCCCATAAGGGCTACAACCATAGGCATGATAAACAGAAATACATAATACCAATGAAAGTTATATCATAGATTTTGAGACATAGAGTTACCTCCTTAACTCTCGACAAAATCCAATCGAACAAACCTTTTAGACCCGCTCTCCCGATTGGCACCATCATCGACCTCTCATCTCGATTCCATAGCTAAATCACTATCTAGGAAGTGACTATCTCCATTTCACAACTAAATTATTGTTCAAGAGGATAACCTTGAGTGCAACAGAGACTTTCTCTCACTAAAAGGAGAAACCACCCAAAATCTTCCTGAGAACTACTTCTTTATAAGAAACCAGCCTCTCAATCTATAGAAAACACAACGTGGAGTTTCTCTATGTAGGAAGCTTTCTTCTCTCTAAGGGGAGGTCTGACCTCTCATGCACAAGAGGCCCTTGCCTCTTCTCTCTCTCGAGGAGCTACCTTTCCCATATGGTGACCAAAATAGAGCACACAAATTTTTTACACTTCCATCCTATATATATAAAATTAGGAATCCATATTGAATAAAAAACTTCCTATATCAAGAACCAAGAGATATATCCAAGAATCCTAATCATTTTGGATATCTATTTCCTTTAGAAAACTTATCAATATCAATCCCAATCCTACATAATATGTGACTTCCTTATGTGGGTGATTTTGGATATCACAATATCCAACAGAATGATCACCAAAACACCCCTTTTTTATGGGTAGTAATAGTAGGAATCGAACTTGAGATTTACCGCTGCTAAACATCAGCTTGCCCACTACTCTTCAAACAATACACAATGGATGCTCAAGGAAGACATCTATTTCATTAAGGCTAAAGAACGATTGTGCATATGACAATGTGGTTTCATTATATTACAATGACATAATAGCATTTCCTATATATATATATATATATAGACACTACAAAAAAGCCAATACAATACTTCACCTATACCTTATCACCGTCCAAAGTTCATCGCACGGTCACAGTTGTCCAGCAGTATTTAAATTTTTATAATTATTGTACTAATCAGATTTATCTAAATTTTGGGGCGTGTATACATATGACCAAGTCACACCAAAATAAAATATTAAAAAAATAACAGTCATAAAATAAAATGATGAAATCACCCCTAAAACTTTATAGGGTTATTTATTATAATTTTTATCATTCAAATTATTTGTTTTATATTTTATTCATGTGTATCTCATTAAGGTGCACACACCTACAAAATTTTATATCATTATGATTTGTAAAAACATTATTAAAATTCAAACAACATCAGACATCTGTGACCGTGTAATAAACTTTGAACGGTGATAAAGTCGTAGGTGAAGTACTGTAGAACTTCACTTATAAG